TTTTTTAATCAACAGTTGAATGGTGGCAAGTTTCATAAAAAGCCACGAGCAAAAAGCTGAGAAAAATCGCATTTTTATCAAAGACTACATCTAGATAAGATTCATAATGATGATCAAAACACAGTAGATCGAGTACATCAACAACCTACACCCATAAAGCTTCATAGTCCTATAGTGATCGCATTATGATATCGCTTGTTTCTGCTCTTATTTGCCTGGGTTTTGATCTCCTATCCTCACATTAGCTAGAACATTTGTATACTGTAACGTACACACGGCAAGGTACTGTATATGCGTGTAGGCCTAATGTAGGCTATGGAGCAAAACACCCTGATGCTAAACTTTAAAAGCTTACTTCAAATATGATGTTTTCTTATTCGGTGAAGTTCGGTATCTTGCAAACATCTCTTGTCCTCTGCTCGTCCGTTTGAAAACTGCGCGCGCCGCGCTGCCGGCGAACGTAATTTTTTTTTTTTTTAAGTAGCAAATAAAATTTTGGGGTGGCACCCAGGGTGGCCAATTGCATGTCCGGGGTGTCCAGTGCCACCCCGGACCCCCCTCTGGCTCCGCCACTGCACCCTCGTGCGGACTACAGGCCTCAGCCTCAAAGTACCATGAAGAAAGCGAATTATAAAAGGGTGTCTCCCCAAAGAGACTCCACTGAAAGGGACATGGTAAGCAGCAAGTGCCGCCACATACACCTTTAGTGTGGAGGGGGATAGCCCTGAGGAGAAACGCTCCTGAAGGAACTCCAGCACTGCACCCACTGGGCAGTTAACTGGGTCCAACAGGTGTTCTCCACACCAAGAAGTGAAGAGCCTCCACTTCAAGGCGTATAACCTCCTCGTGGAAGGAGCTCTGGAGTGAAGGATGGTCTCAACAACCTCGGTTGAGAGACCAGCCCCTACGAGCTGGGCCCCTTCAGAGGCCAAGCCCATAGCTTCCACAACTCTGGGTGGGGGTGAAGTATCAACCCGCTCACCTGAGAGAGAAGGTCCCTCCTGATCGGAATCTCCAGAGGAGAGCCGTCTAGAAGAGACAATAGGTCCGCAAACCATACTCGGGCCGGCCAAAACGGGGCTACCAATAATAGACTGACCCCGTCCCGGCGAACCCTCTCCAGAACTCCTGGGAGCAGAGCAATCGGGGGAAAGGCGTACAGGTGTGACCTCGGCCACGCCTGCACCATGGCGTCCAACCCCAGCGGGGCTGGATGACTGAGAGAAAACCACAGTGGACAGTGTGATGTCTCCCTGGACGCAAATAGGTCTACCTCGGCACGACCGTACTGCATCCAAAGGAGCTCCACCACCTCGGGGTGGAGTCTTCATTCCCCGGGCCTCGGCCCCTGCCTCGACAGGATGTCCGCTCCCTGATTTAAATACCCCGGGAGATAAATCGCCCTCAATGAGAGAAGCTTCCCCTGGGACCATAGAAGGATCTGGCGAGCCAGATTGTATAACGGGCGAGAGCGCAGACCCCCTCTGATGGTTTATGTAAGAGACCACCGATGTGTTGTCGGACCGGACAAGAACATGATGACCTCTCAGGTCTGGCAGGAAGTGTTTCAGAGCCTGAAACACTGCCAACATCTCTAGACAATTTATGTGCCAAAACCGATGATGGTCCTGCCACTGACCCTGGGCTGGGCGACCACTCATGATCGCCCCCCAGCCTGTGAGGGAAGCATCTGTCGTTAGCGTTACACGACGACAAAGAGCTCCCAACACAGGTCCCTGGGACAGAAACCAAGGATCCCTCCATCTGACCAGAGCACGGAGACAACGCCGTGTGACTGATCACGCGGAGGGGGTTTCCCCTCGGGGAGAACCCCTTGGTCCTGAGCCACCACTGTAATGGTCTCATGTACAGCAGGCCGCAGGGTATAACACTGGACGCTGCTGCCATCAGACCCAGCAGTCTCTGGAACTGCTTTACAGTGAGCAACTGACCTAGCTTTACTCTTTTTACAGCTGAGAGAATCGAAGCGATGCGGGCAGGCGACAGGCGAGCCTGCATTGCTACAGAATCCCATAGTACCCCCAGAAAAGATGTCTTCTGTGATGGAGATAGAACACTCTTCTTGGCATTCAGCCCCAACCCCAATTTCTTGATGTGTGCGAGGACGACATCTCGATGCCGAGCCGCTTGCTGCTGCGATTGAGCGAGAATCAACCAATCGTCTATGTAGTTCAATATACGAATGCCCTGGAGCCGCAGCGGGACTAGCGCTGAACGTACGGGGAGATAAAGCTAGGCCAAACGGAAGAACCCGATACTGGTAGGCTTCGCCCCCAAAAGCGAACCTCAGGAACTTCCTGTGTTGCGGAAGGATGGAGATGTGGAAGTATGCGTCCTTCAGATCTATCGTGACAAACCAGTCCTCGGAGCCTGATTTGTGACACGATTTGCTTTAGCGTAAGCATCTTGAATTTGAGCTTGGCTACAGCACGATTTAATAGGCGCAGATCTAAAATTTGACGCAACCCCCCATCCTTCTTTGGAATGATGAAATATCGGCTGTAATAACCTGACTCCTTGGTGGGAGGAGGAACCCGTTCTATAGCCTCCGTTTGAAGGAGCGTTTTCACCTCTTGTTCCATTACCAGCACGAGACGCGACACTCTGCCTTTGTTGCGCCCTATGTGAGGAGCTTGTCGACGGCTTGGTCTGCCCTCGCCCAGCAGACCCTGGGACATGAATTTTTAGTGGTAGGAATTTTTGAAAAGCTGCAGCTTGTTTCTTTTCTTCCTGAAATGTATCTATGTTATCTATATATCTTGTTTACCGCGTCACCAAAGAAACCAGACGGAGAAAGTGGAGCATCCAAAAGAAAAGCTTTCTCTTTATCCTGCAAATCAGAAAGATTGAGCCACAAGTGTCTTTCTGCGGCCACCAGGGCTGCCATAGAACGGCCCATTAGTTTAGCCGACTCCCTGGTGGCACGCAGAGCTAAATCTGCAGCCTGACGCAGTTCTCGAACCACGTCAGTGCTGACCTCCTCTCACTCATGTCTTTTAAAAGATCGGCTTGGTATGCCTGCAATATTGACATCATGTGCAGACACGCCGAAGCCTGACCAGCCGCCGAATAAGCCTTACCCACCAGAGCCGAAGTATTTCTGAGAGGCTTGGTGGGTAAAGCTGGTGCCTTAAGAGACGTGGAAGACTCAGCAGAAAGATGGCTAGCTAGAGTCTCCTCCGCCTTGGGCATCGCCCCATAACCATATAACCTAGCCCCTGAGTCTCAGGGCCTGAGATATTAGAATATGTGGATGTCTGGGGACTAAACACACGATAAGAAGCGGGTCTCTTCCACGACCTCGACACCTCGGTGTGGAGGTTGGGAAGAAACGGAAGGCACCGCCGTGGAGGCTCCACATCCAGCTCCTCAGAAGTGGATAGCTGCAGTCTCAAACCCCGCTGACAGATCCATTTGCGATCCCCACGACAGGCGCCGCCGCTCTGCCTCGACAGAAGCGGGACCCGAGCCGCGGGGAGCGCGAACCGAACCACTCTCCTCGAAGAGTGATCACAATCAGCCCCCTCGAGAGCTGACTGGGCATGCTGCACTCCCAAACAAGCAACACACAGATCGTGTGTATCCCCACCCGTAAGAAAACGAGAACAGGGGGGAACACACTTTCTATATTGCTGCTCGCTCGTCATAATAATATATGTGAATATAATTAGTTTTTTTTTTAAGTGAAAAACTCCTGCCTAGCAATCACTAAGAACAGACAAAAACACAGGGACAGATTCACATACAGAGCGCTTGCTGAAGACAACAGAAGCTGTCGCCATTGTGTTCATGGGTGTGCTTTGTAATTTCCTGGTCGATGACGTCACTTGTGACGTTCCTTCTCGCCATTGGGCTGATTCCATACTTGCTTCACGACGCACAACGCAGGAGGCGTTCCCGCAGCGTTTCGCGCAGCTCGACGTTCCTGAAAGGGAACAGGAAATATGTAAATGAAATAAAAAAAGTTCTAAAATAATTATACTGGGCAAGCCACCAATGATACATTAAAAATTGAGTAATTACGGAAACATCCCTGTAGAGGAATTATTTATTGGAAAATCATTTTATACAGTAGTTTATAGGACTCACAAGATTATTCTCATAATTTACAGAAATGTAAAACCCTTGCTTTTTACTGACATTAAAACAACACACAAAAAGTGTATTGACAAAAAGGTCTATTTATATAATGATGTTTATGTATAATAATGTTTAAGACCACATTACTATGAATAATGACAAATAAATAAAAGTTGCCATAGTATTATATATTGTAAAACATTGTTTAAGAAAAAGCTGTTGATTTGAGGGATCAGGGTTTTCCATGTTTTATGGAGTAATGATTTTATGTATATTTATTTATGTACACTGTATATTCCATCTAGCTACACTAACCCTAACCCTAAACCTACTGTACATGTGTATCACAGACAACTTTCTGAAGTTTTAGATTTTCAAAACATTTAGTATGATTTATAAGCTGTTTTCCTCATGGGTACCAAAGATGTCACCATAAAGTCAATATTTACTGGTATTACATCTTGTGGATACATTTGGTCCCCATAACATAGGAAATACCAGGCACACACACACACACACACACACACACACACACACGCACGCATGCACACACACTCTCTCTCACTCACATTCTTTCACAGTCTGCCAGCAGTTTACTCTTACAACACTCAGACCCCTTTAAAACACACACGCTGACCTGCCGTCTTTTCTGAACACACAGTCTACAAAACCTGCTGTTCACTCTCACACACACACATAACTGTGGAGGCAGAGGTGGCAATCACTTGTTCTGGTTCTGGAGCAGGACAGAGGATTGGTGTATTTATGGTAAATTCATTCACAGGAATAGTGTCTGGAAAAATGTCTTCTTTGTATCTCAAGATGGACCTTTCCTAAATGCATAGAGATGATCATTCACTTGGCAGTCTGAGATTTGGCAGTCTGTACCTGCCATAAAGATGAAGATCACTGTTCTTCTGCATCTGACTCTATTGCTGGTGAGGACATCAAGCCTTGAAGATTCACCTGTGGACAAATTAACAGATGTTTCTGGTGACAGCAGTCAGCATTTAAACTCTGTTCAGCATGGAGAATGTAGCTATACCTTCATACTGCCAGAACCTGAGGAGAGCAGAACTGGTAGCTGGCCAGAAAAACACGATGGCAATTATGAAGGTAACAGTGTCCAGAAAGAATCTCCTCAGGGGAAGCAAAACCACTTAAACCAGCGGATCCAACACCTGGAGCTTGCCATGGAAAATTGCACCGGTTGGCTCCAAAAGGTAAGTCAACATGTCATTTAATGTTCTGCGAGAGGAGAGTGAATGGATCACACACTCTTAAAAATAAAGATTCATTATTAGTATCTATTGTTTCATGAAGAACCTTTCATGTAATCTTTCTATTGCACAAACGGTTCTTTTTAGTGTAAAAAGGTTCTTCGGATTATTATTATTATTAAACTGCTCTTCACACTAAGGGGTGGGGTGGGTGGAACGTAAATGAAACATGCATTTGTTCATAAAGAGGACAATGTGAATAAATCTAGATTTAAATTTGAAGAGACAAGATAGTCTTTGCATGAGCTGTCATTTTATTCTTATCCAAAACAAGGCGATCTGAACATTACGGAACGCTAACACATTTTCTACCGCGCAGTTCCTCCAGTTTTGCAGCTAACACTCTCGTGTAATGTGTGTTTTCACTCATACTCAAAGCCGGAGGGCGCTCTTTCTCACAGAAAGTCCGAAACGTATTCGTAGAAGAAAGAACTTATGACCTTCCAGGAAATCCCTTATATGGACAAAGGCATCCAGCTATTCACTCTAGCCATAGATATCCGTAATAAAGGCTAGATGTCTTACGGCGGAGTCTCTATCGTCATCACCGGCGGCCATCTTGTCACAGGCTAGCTTTCTGGCGGGCTCTGTGGTACTGATGTATGGTGAGAACACAAATACTCTCATCTTACTGAAATCTTGACGGATTTTCAAACGGTTTGGTTTCTTACAAACGTTATTAACGTGGCTAGATAATTTTGGTTGATTATTTATTTCTACACTTATTTTTCATAAGTGTGCAGTCAGTGTCATAACTACATCTCTGACGTTTATAACAAACCAAACCGTTTGAAAATCGGTAGAAAATTGAGCAAGTTATGGTTATTTAAAAAGTACATGCAACATTAACACAACGTTACGAGTGAGCGAGCTGCCTGTGACAAGATGGCCACCAAGTGCTAACGTCGACCTCCATTGGCCAGCAGCGCGGACGAGACATCTAGCCTTTATTATGGATGTCTATGACTGTAGCAGCAGCTGAATAAAAAGCAGAAACGATTTTACTGATGAAACGTGAACAATAAACACACGAATGCGACAATATATGGTTTATGTGTTTCTACATGCCATCTCAAGGTATTTATTGACAATGAAGTAAATGAATAATGCAGTGCTAATTGACAGCTTTTTAATGTTTTTGAAAGAAGTCTCTTTTGTTCACCAAGGCTGCATTTATTTGATCAAAAATACAGTTCTATCATGACAACTCTCGGAGTTGTGTTTTTGAAAGATAGTCTCTTTTGTTCACCAAGGCTGCATTTATTTAATCAAAAATACAGTCCTATCATGACAACTCTCGGAGTGATTGGCATATGACAATGTTGTATGTTTGGTCTTGGCGGAATAGATCTGCTACGCTGCTGTTGCTGCTGCTTTTATTGCTGCTGGACTTGCAACTGGCAATACATACATGTTGTGACACGCTGCTGTGAGCAAGACATGCTGCTGCTGTGCAATGTAGCGTACATGAATTACCCGTAGCAGATTTATACAGGTGGAGCTGGGGAAGGTGGAGGGTTTCTTAAAGTGCGCTGCACTGCAAGGCAAATGCTACCCAAGTATTTGAAGGTTGAGCAGCGAGCTCGTTGGCTACTGATACGGCAGGAACCAATCAGCTGTGCCCTAATAGATAACGATGTGATCATGAACAGGTGAGTAAAAGGACCTATTAGCCTGCACCTCTAGAGTTTCATGCCAGAATTTTGTATTAAAAACAGTAATTTGAACATTGCGCAATATTATTACAAATATTATTACAAATTAAAATGTTTTCTATGTGAATATATTAATGTATTTATTCCTGTGATCAAAGCTAAATTTTTTAGCATTATTACTCCATATTATCTGATTATTATCAGTGTTAAAAACATTGTGCTGCTTAAAACTGTTGTGGAAACCATGATGTATTTTATTTTTTCAGGATTCATTCTTTGATGAATAGAAAGTTTAATGAACAGCATTTATTTGCATGTATTACATTAAGTTATTACATTTATTGAAGCATTTATTAAAAAGAAATCTTTTGTAACATTATTAATGTCTTCACTTTCACTTTTGATCAACTTAATGCATGCTTGATGAACACAAGTATTAATTTCTCTCTCTTTTTAATCTTACCACAAATGTTTGTATGGTATCATGGTTTTGTGGTTTTCACAAAAATATGAAGCAGCACAACTTTTTACAACATTAATCAGAAATGTTTCTTGAGCAGCAAATCAGTTATGAGAATGATTTCTGATGATCACTTGACAGTGAAGACTGATGTAATGATGCTGAAAATTCAACTTTGATCACAGGAATAAATCACATTTTGCAATATATTGTAATGCTATTTGACAATATTACAGGTTTTTTTACTGTATTTTTGATTAAATAAATGCAGCCTTGTAGCGCAAAAGCATTCATTCATTCAATCATTCATTCATTCATTCATTCAAAAACATTAACAATTGTAATGTTTCCTGTATATTTTCTGCCTTATTCTACAGAAACGTGATATTTTTTTGACATTGTATAAAAGTTTGTATGAAAATTGTAAAAACTTAATGCACAAGTGTGAAATATAGGGAAAGATATTATAGATATTAGTGGTTATTATTCAGCAGTGTATGTGATTTCTTACCAAATTAAAAGCAAGAGATGAGATAAAAAAAAATAAAAAGCTGTCAATTAGACAAAGGGAAGATTAAAACTGGTATCACGCCTGACATTTCTGTTCCCCTCACTTCTGAAATGATGGCTACGACCCTGGTCATCCATTTTATTTAAGCACATTTAATGCACAAATAAATTAATGCACAAATAAATTAAACTAAGATAAATTCATTCCACAACTTTCCACAAATAAATTGTGGAAAGTTGTGGAATGAATTTATCTTAGCTATACGTATGTGTAAAGTGAGTTTTAACCGCAGAGCTCACATACATTAGATTGAAACACTTTAGGCTCAGTTACGATACATAATTTCAGTGTCTGTTCAGTCTCTCAATGTCAAGCATTACTTTGGGGAACAGCTTTACAGTCAATGATACCGCACCACACACTTTCACTTCACTGTAAAAAAATAAATAAAGCAGTAGAATAGAACTTAAAATGTTGCTATCATTTTTTTCTGCAAAGTTCTGGCAAGCACAGCTGTTAGTTTTTTTTATGTCAAATGTACAGTGTATTTTACACTTTGGCGAATTGGTATTCGCATGAATTCGTACGATCTCATTCATATTTTTTTTTTACTCTCTGCGGACATCCAACTGAGGGGTTTATGGGTGGACCATCATGCTAATTTGTACAAATTCATAGGAATTTGCCAACAATCCACCCAAACAGAAAATAATTACGTTTTCTCATGAGTTCGGGTTGGTCTAGTGAAGTTTCATGGATCTGTAAGACTTTAAGAAATTTGTTCTGTTGTAAATTAGGAAGCAGATTTTGACATAGCTGCGCTGTTTTAACTTTGCTAACTTGTGTTAGCCCTGGTGTTTGCTTATCAACATCATATATTTATCAGTCTCCTAACCCTAACACTACCTACCCATCACAGAAAACTTTCAAAATATGTTACAAAAACGTCTGAAATTGCTTGCAATGACCAATGAGACCATTAAGAATGTGCTTCTCGTTGTTGTACACAACTGGACTGCTGTATACCCTATTGATTTCAAACTGACACAGCTCTTTCCACACCTTTAAATTGATTTAATGCATTCCTATCGGTCAAGTGCTTTGTCAGAGCTTTCTCTAATGAGTATAGGCGCCCCAATGGGAAGGGTTTTGTGTTTCTGGGCTGATGGGGGAGACATGATCCGTCCCTAAGAAAACACACTCTGTCCCCAATTCCCCAATTTCAAATCCCAGTGAGCCGAACCAGCAAGCGGTGAGTGCTATCCCTTAGGGACTGTTCTATGTAAAATCAGAGGACTGAAGATTGAAAAACCACAGCGAATGCCTAGATTTATAAAAAAAAATGTAATGACTGATGATTAATGAAAATAAAATGAAAATAAACATTCATACTGCCATTGTATGCCTACAAGTGTATGTATTTTTGGTCTTAAAAAAAATCAAAATCCATGACATGCCATAGGATTTTTATTTTGTGACGCTTTGATCAATTAACTTTATTAAGTGTTTAATGCCGTCATAAAAGTGGAAAGAAATACTGATATTTTCACTTAGTATAAATAGCATCTACCAGTGCCTTTTTTTTTATTGTGGATCATTCAACATCAAGCTGTGATTTTGTCAGATTGCAAGACAAAGGAGTTACAAATTGTATTGCAAAAATCTTTAAAATGTAATTTCCATCAGCATCATTTCCACCTATCAACTCTATCAAACAAATACATAATTTGAGATGATTTACCTCAGATGATACACTAATGCATCTGAGTGAGTCTGCATTATCTTGACCCATTGAAAAGTGTTCTTGTCCTCACCATCTGCTCACCACAGCCCCTGCTCTCTAACCACTGAAATGCTCTGAAAGAAGATTGTGACCTGTTTAATCTCTGCCTGTGGCTATTTGGTCCAGCTAGAACAATCTTAGGATGCAGGGCACTAGATAAACACATCCTGTTACAACACTTCAGCTGAGTGTTATACACTCCGGGCCCAGAGGACATAAAGCTATCACTTCAATGCAGTGAGTATTTATACATCTTGGACTCCATCTCACTGAGAGCAGCTGAAAATATCTCTTCCTGTAAACACTGTATAAAGTGCTGATAAGGAACCCAGAGAATGTACCAGTACTGTAGCTGTACTCTGTGGGATGTGTTCAAATTATCTCTGTGATGGAAGATTAACAGTAAGCAGAAGCATCATAATATCATTGCATTTGTAAATATGTTCAGTTTGTAACTGATAAGTGTTTACTAGTAGGTGCACAAAATCAAGCATTCAGCCATGGAAAGAAACAAAAGTGTTTAGTAGATTGAAT